AGATCTAGAAGAAATAAGACCCCTTTGATCCTGTTCTTAACGTGAAACGAAAACATTTCTACCAACAAAACAGTGAAGGCAACTTCAAAATTCATCAAAAATATGATTCTTCATGGAATGTTCTAACAATGTTCAGCTAAGCAGATATTCTTAAGCAAACTCCAAAAGCAAGTTAACCCTAAAATACCTGGTAGAACATTGTTTCGCAAAAAAAAAGATAATAAATAAGCGAGTAAATAAATAAATAAATAAATAAATAAATATAAATAAATAAAACTGTCGATGACAAAACACTTCGACACCGGTATTGAACAGAAGCTCATATAGGGTTGTTAGCAATTTGCTCGAAAAAAACAGGAAAAGGCTGTTTAGAATGCAACATATCTGTGAAAGTCTCTTTCTGAAATTGTCACGTAATCGCGTAATATGCGTATTTGAAATAAATACTACTTCAAATCGTGTTTAGTGCGCTTTAAATTCCTCTTTTCTATGCTACAAAAACATCGAGGAACGTAAGGTTCCCGAATATCAAGGTGATGCTCTGGAGAAGGGCCCAATTTTTAAAAAAAGATGAGCGGACAAGTTTCTGAGGTTGATGTCCAAGTTTTCTGTGTAGTACCGGCGCAGTTTAGTCATCCCCGTCTATATTTGATTAATAGGGTATTCAGACCAGCTCGGGCATATACCGTCGTGTTCAAGATACAGAGGTGAACAGCCGAAAATAAGGCTAACATCTTTCAATTGACCCACAAGCACGTGAAAGAACGGTAACGTTCTCATAACTGAGGCGCAGCGTGCGTTCTTTTTTTGGCACTTCTGGACGATGGAAGATGATATAGTCAAAGTAGATCGTTAGGATTTCGACAAATCGCACGATACACGTCATACAGTGTAGGATCTTAATTCCCCGAAAGAGCCGAGCCTTGTATGTTGCTGTCAGCATACATTTGCTGGCGGTTTAGGGTTAATGCAAGCAGCTGCCCTATTCCCACTTGATGGACGAATGGATATGGATACGGCTAAACCCTTTTAACCGGGCGGCGGGTTGCGCCATCTAGTCGAAGCTTTTAATTTCAACAGGTAAAGCTTTTTAACGACATATTCTTAAAAATTACAACCTCTGTGACGACTTCACAGTGACGTGGTCGCCGCCTGGTGGATTTTATGCGAACCACTATGAGGGGGTCACGACGGGTTTTTTAACTCTCGGCGGGGCCGACATGATGGCAAGCGGAGCAAGCGCTGATTTTTGCGAATCAGCTAGTTGCATGCGTTCGAACATTGCAGACTTATTATCACTATATAAGCTCGCAGATCCTCGTTACCTAAAGACCAAATTTAAACGGGATCCGAGGAAGGAGAGTGTACAGGCGATAAAAAAACGCGCGTGACTCCGAAGCCGTACTACCTAAATTATGTAAACCGTGCCTAACATGCGTTAGTAATCCCGGAGAAAGCATCAAGTATTCCTTATTTTGCGTGCGAGCTTACAACGCCGCTTGCGACTAGTCCTGCTGCGACCGCTGGATGAGATATTTTTCAAGATGGCGGATAAAATGGGGCCATAGTTGCCTTCTTTGTGCTGCCATCTTTGTCCTCCGGAAAGTATGAAGAACTCGCAAAGGAAATAGTAACTTTCAACTTAGAGAGCCTAAACTTGAGAGAGGAAGCAACTGGAACCATGGGGAGCGTTTTTGCAATTCAATCACGGACGCCTCCTGGGCGGATTGATCGCAAGTGCGCATGCGCTGAGTTTTTGCGCGGGGCGAGGAGGAAAGCGATTGGAAAGGCGGAGGTGCTTGCAGACGATTAACGCTTTCGTCACCACCTCATAGCTCATCTGCGAACGCGGCCCAGAAACCACGTGACCCCCACCTAGCAGTTGGAAACACTCTGAAATATCTTTCTGCTTTAGCAGAGGCAACGCTGGAGAGGAGGAGACCTCCTCTCCAGCGTTCACTCTGCTAATGTAAACAACAATGGGAGAAGTCTTTTTCTTTTCTTTTTTTTTTTTCATCTCGAGGACTGCTCGCGCCATCTCTCGGATGCCAGGGGTGGCGAGCCCAAAGGAATATAGGTTTTTTCGCTGAATTTCCAACTCGGATAAGTTGGTTTTTCTTAATCTTTCTTACCAGACACCCGGGCATACTGTGAGACTATAATTCATGTTCATCTCACCACATATTGCGTCTTATGCGCATCGTCGTCTAAAGTAGCCTGCGACCTTTAGACGTTTAATCGCACGTAAAGAGTGTCTCGTGCAGTAGAGTTTTGACTACCACCGCAGAAACAAGCAGCTCGTTATGGCGACAAAATGGCCGCTTAGGTATGTACACACGTTTCAATTGCTTAGTCAACACGTGCGATTCACACGGTGCTAGGCGCGCAAACGACATTAATTTACCACGCGTGCGAAGAGCTATGGGACACTGAAGACACGCGTAAATGCGCCCAGTTATCTCTGAGATTACCAAGATAGCCATGTGAAGTTTGACACACGACTAGAATCAGCTGTGAAATTTGCAACGTCAATTAATAAAATTTTTTTTATCGTCTAATTAATAAACTTAACCATTAGACCATAGTGACGGCTAGAGTTTCACCACAACTGTAGTCCTATCTTTAGACAGATGTTTTTGTTTTCCAGAACTTTAAAAAATAGCTGATTAACTCATTAACAAAATTTTTGTTGTCTCTAGAAAAAATCAAAATACTGGCAAATAAAACAGATAAACAATAAAGAATGTCCCGTAATAAATAAATAGAAAAGACGTCTTGCGACTAACCTATATTTTTCCATCGAATACTATGTAGATACATTCCGTGGTTTGTCCTGAGACCTGTCACTCTTCAGAGCAACTCCCAACACGTAAGGAAAGTATTGCACGAGCAAGCCTGTATTATAGTGGAAAACGGCCGTAACCTGTATAGTGGGGTAATCCCATATTCTAACGAGAATCTAGGCGTGTATACACACTTACACGTGCATTAGTATATGCAAACCGGGGTAAATGCCCTACAAGGTGGATCTTAGTTTTTGTACATTCATCTGTAGCAGACCACTAGTTCCAGGACAGCCCCGCGACAGCACGTCAGTATGGGAACAGACGTCACATCCTTAGAGCCGTATAGCTGATTTCGTAACTCGTGTAGAAGGTGTGCATCCCCTTCACACAGCGCCATGTTTAGTTGGCCCCATCTTAGTCGTAGCTGTGAACATGTCGATGCGAATTTCAGGACACTCCTTGGATACACTGTAAGGAGGAGTACTACAAGAGCGCAACAGACCCTTTTCAAAACCCCGTCAGGCAACATTGGCGGTCGCCATTTCTCGGGCGCGAGACGTGTGATTGGATCCGAGCCCTCTCCGAGCGCTGACGTCACCCTCGTGTCCAATACATGCTCAGTGTACGTGATCGAACTCTGGTGAACTCGGATGACCGACACAGAAGCTCTAGTATAGATGGCGCGTACTTTTGAAAAGGGTCTATATAGGTAAAATGGCGTCACCGGCTTTTGAGAACTGTACTCGCAACGTAATAACTGTCTTCTCAAGGCTAAAAAAGTTTTTTTTTTTCTTCTACGGGTAAAGAAACAACAACAAAAAATAAATAAAACCGGTTTCTGAACCTTGTAGATTTGTTTTTTGCGCATTACCCAGTTTGTTGTTTTCTTGTTGCTGTCGTTTTTTATACGACGGGTCACAACTCCACGCTTAGTGTATGGCGCACCGCTCGCAGTCGATGTAACTTTTTCTATGTACATCCCACCCACCACAGAAACTATGACGTCATTCGCGATAAACACTTGTTTGGCTTACGTCACTGGTAGACGATGGCGGCGGCTGACCGACCGGCGGAAAAAAGTCAGACTAAAACTGCGATGAGCCAGAGGTATTTCTTAAATGCAGCAGATGTCATTGATGGCGTCGACTCCAGCGTCCTCGACGAAGGCAGATAGCCGACACTGACAACGAAATACGATTTCTAATGGCCTCAAAAACTACAAGAGACGCGCATTAATCTCAAGCGGAGCACTTACTGCGTTTCATGCCGGAGGTGACGGAAAGCGGGTGTCATTCGGCATATCTTCGGAGAGTATGTCATCAAGAAATCCCTCCCAGCCTTGGAAATATCTCGACAAGTCACAACATGGTTAGTTTAGACTTGTATAGCGTACATTATGATTTCAGTCTGCCTGACTTCTACACGCCGACAAGGCGTCTGAGTGAGCAGATACAGAAATCGACAGCTAAGCGCAACTCTGTTGTGTATCATGACGGCCTAGGGAAGAGACAAAAGATGTCGCAAGCTGTCCTAATAAATTCCTTCAGATGTGAATAACTCATCCGCACCAACGTATTGGTGTCGCAGACGTCTCAAATGAGGCAGAGAACATAGCGAGACACATAGAGAATAGTCTCAGGATTTCTAATTTTATGACTAGGGTCCCTTACACATTGTCACGAACATAACACAACTCCTTGAGCGAAAAAGTGGCTACCGGCCTCCGCCGATCTGAATCATTATCTGGACGGAGCATCATACAGAGCTACTATTACATTTGTTCCAGTTACGATTATCGAAGACATGGACGGTTTTTGATATACAGAACGTCCACAACGACTTGCATATCGCCCACGTTCTCAACTCTGCAAGCGAGGGCTATGCAAGTAGTGTTCTTTGGACGGATCCTCCTGATGTGCTTGAGAGGCGTTTCAAGCACGTCAGTTTTAAAGTCAAAGTTGGTCCCGTGAATACCGAAAAAAACATCCGCGCAGCTTACCAAGTGTTTGCTTCTGACGTCGAATACCCATTCATTTCCTAACGTTCAAAACGTGCTCAAAAGGCTGAATTTATGATAAATGATGGATACCGGTTCCATCGTTTGTCGCCACGCAGAAGTTTCGTTAGTGTAACTTGGCTAATCAAGGCGGCACGGTCCGTACCACGGGCACAATTTTGCGCCGTGCTCAGAAGGTCATCGTTACCGTCCTTCAACTAGTAAGTCGATACGGCGTCCATTTCGGCGTACGTCTCAAGCTCCAAGGCGGCCGCCTCGAGGGCAGCCTTACAATCCGCCCAAGGTTGCTGCTGTTGCGCTATCGACGTGGCCGTCGCAGAAGACGTCGGATCCACAAAGACCATTCCTCCAGGACCCACGACCCCGTTGTCTGGACTCTCCGGGTCTGTACCGGTGCCGTAGAGCAAGCCAAAAGTCTGCACTGCCGTTCCGGAGGTACCTTGCACCGGTAAACACAGCGTTGTCTCTGCGCTAGGGCCGAAGCAGGTCCACCAGTCCGCGCTACCAGGCACGCCGTTGACAGACGTTACGGCCGCCGTAGCGTCCACAACCCCGCCACTCCCGAACAGGTCTTCTTCCAGCTGCAGCGCCGCCGCGGTGTCTTCGGACGCCCTAAAGCGGTCCAATTGCTGATCGAGGTCGAGGTCGCCCTCGTTCAGGATCCAGGAGAGGTCGCTCTTGAGGGTGTCGCCCAGGTCGCCACAGACGTCGTCCAGGGGCACCGTGGCACTCGCGGAGTCCATGACCACGACCGCGGCTGGATCCACTCGCTCGACAATGACCGCAGGACCCCTGGTTTCGATGGGGAGGGTCAGGGCTCGCTTGGAAGACGACGTGCGGTCCCGATTCCTTCGCCTGGTGGGGCCGTTGTTGGTGCCGGGGCCTCCCGGGTGTCGCTGGGCGGGACGTCTTTTCTTGAAGACACCGTCGACGAGGGAGTCAGCGTAGACCGGGTCCAGGCGCCAGAAGCCGCCCTTGCCCGGCTCGTCCTTGGTGCGGGGGACCTTGATGAAGCACTTGTTGAGGGATAGGTTGTGGCGGATAGAGTTCTGCATGTCAGGGAAACGACATCAAAAAGTGTGATAATTGCGTTTCTTTAAAGCGAGATAAAAAGAGAGAAATAAGAGGAAAGTATAAAGGCAAGTGATGAAACCAATTTCTTCATGACTTTACAAAATATAAAAAGGAAAAAAAAAGACCCATAAAAAGTAAAAGGTGGAGAGGAGAGGAATCACATATGTGATGACAAAATTTCAAGCTGCCTTATATTGCACCAAGCTCAAAGCGTCCAAATTAGTTTCAATAATCGAAATCTTAAAATTATTGTCATGCTAGCTTAAACAAAAAAGCGCATTGGCTAAATTTCTCATTTATAGATTGAATCAATGTCGCAATACTTCAAAGGTAAGCCGCCGACATTTTACTGTCTAAACGTTCCCCGTCATGTTTTTTTTTTTTTTTTGTACTTTGGTTGAAAAGTTTGACCCGGTAAATCCTGATAGATTTGTTTCTCTGTTCACCATGGGATCATTACGAATTCCACACGAAAGCGTTTTAATATAATCAAATTGACCACCACCTTAATTTATCGATTAAGCGAAATATATCCAATTCCGGCTTATGGCTCAATGTCGGCACGGCTTTTTCAGAAACTTGTTCGCCGTCTCGGGTCTCTGAAACGGCAATGAACAGACGCTCCACCCCGTCTCAAAAATCAGTTTCTCGCGTGTCCGCAGGACCTACAACTTCTACGTCCAAACGCGCTTGGTTGAACACAAATAGTTGGTGTCAACGTTACTAAAACACTCAGTTGGGAAACTCCCATAGAGACAGCTTTGAAAAAGTGGCTCTGGTCTGTCTCCGAGCACCGAGCTAATGACGGACACAACGCCACCATTTCTCCCGCAGCGGCCACTCGAGGAACTGCACGTGACTTCTATTTTGGCTTTAAGAACAGATACAGCGGAAGAGGTTACAGAAATGCCACCCCGTCTCCCCGGCGGACGCGCTTTTAACTTCCGCGTCGACATACGGAAGTTAAAATGCACCTAGGTCGGGACTCGCTACCTGAAAGGACCGCTGAGGCATGGTTGTATAAAAACAATATTAATTGTGCCGCAAAACCCTGCAAACTAAAGATTTTAAAAACATAACGCGCCCCTCTTTTTGTACTAAACTCCAATAAATGTCATACAAAAAGAGTCTTTTTCCGTTTGTTTTTACGCAAAAACAGGCTTTCAAAAAGCTCAAGGTGACCACAGTACAGACAAACGATAAAGAGTGGCGCTCTTGTCGCATTTAGCTCGGTCTCGGTGGACGCCAGCAGCCCAGGTTTCGACGGCGAGTTTCCCCACTGACTGTTTTAGTAACGTTGGTTGGTGTATATCATCATCAAAATCATGCCCAATATGACCAAAACTCTCTTTTCCTGTGAATTCCTCATCTCCGATAGCAGACGACGACTCCTGACACATATGTGCCTCCTCAGAGGTCATACAAGACATATGCGCACTGGTTTCATTACAGCCGTATGCTGGCGATCCAGTAGTCACGTTTTATGTTGCAGGCTCCTTAATGGACATGTTGCTCGTCAGATGTAGTGACACTGACACCATTTAAATCGAAAACATAAATATAAACGCATTTTGCTACAATAGACCATTTTCAAAAGTCAGCGCCAACACCTGTCCGCCATAGCTTGATCACATACTCTGAGCATGTATTGGACACAAGGGCTCCGTCAACATCCGGCGTAAACTCGGCTCAGCTCGTATTGAAAACGAGCGCTACGTCAGCGTTCGGCAGGACTCGGAACCAATCACGCGCTTCTTGTCCAGGATGAATGGATGGATGGATGATATTTGGCTATGCCCTTTGTAACGGGCGGTAGCTTGCGCCACCTAGCAACGGCGACCGCCAATGTTGCTCGATGAACTTTAGAAAAGGGTCTATTACACTGCTGTCACTGTGCAACATGGTTCTTATAGAGCTTCTCACCTGCCAGCTCGGATCCGCGTTCCGGTAGTAGAGGAAGTTGTCCCGTATCCACTTGTAGATAGCGCTGAGTGTCATCTTGTTCTTGTTGGCCTTCATGGCCATGCAGATGAGCGTGGCGTACGAGTAGGGAGGTTTGCTGGACCCCTGGCTCCGGTAGTCGGGCTCTTCGACCGGTACGCACCTACGTGACCCGAGCAATTAATTTCAGTTGTTTACATTTTTTGTGCTCATAAACAGTCAAGGCCTTCGTTGAAATAATAGTCACACAGGTTAATTCTGCCGGGTGTTTTTGCGAACTCCTTCAAAAATCTTTACAGATATGCTGTCGAGACCAGCTATAACGAAGTCGACGGGAATTGGAAATCTCTTCGTTATATCCGCTATTTCGTTATAGCCGACTTCGTTTATAACGAAGTGCAAAAGGGAATGGGAAATCGTGATCGCTACGCTGTAGCCGCTGTTTCGTTATAACCGACTTCGTTATAACCGGTCTCGACATGGTGGTGGAGGAAAAAAAAAAACAAGAAAACTGCCAGCCACGGCAGATATCAGGGATTGCAAAAAAAACACGTTAATTAGCAAAGTAATTGCCTAAAATTTGCTATTGAACTAATTAATTGATGAAAATAAACATAGGGTTCCAAGTAGATACTCGCTGAGAGTAATCAAAAACCCCTAAACAGTCAATTTTAGGACAAAGTACGTGAAAAGCAGGGGGGTGCATTAAAGTCCTCTTCACTCGTGCAGCAGGCGGAAGACTGGCGATGTGAAAGCACGCATGATTTTCTTATCGTCCCCCTTTTCGCGTTTTAAAGGACTCCCAGTATGTGGACAGTGCGGCGGTGCTAGCGCTCCGCCGCGCTGTCTACATGCTGCGAGTCCTTTAAAATTTACTGATTTAGAGGTTTTCAATGACGCTCAGCAAATTTCTGACTGGAACCATACCTTTATTTTCAGTAATTAAAACTTAATTAGTAAATTGTATGTAATTATTTTGCTAATTCGTTTTTTTTTTTCAGTCCCTGACGTTCACCGTGGCTGGCAGTTTGTTCCCTAAAAGTATTTCTTTTTTCCCGAACTACCCTATTCGTAGAGATTTTTAAAAAAAAATATTGAGACGTTTGCAAGTACGAGCTCTGGGGGTCGCCATCCTGCTTCTGGTGTGGGTAGATCGTCTGATAGACAAGCACTGCTGAGGGCAGGGGTACGCCTTATCAATGCTTAAAGGAACACTGGCAGGGTATTTATTCTCGCCAAGGTTTCAATTTGTACATGATAAATGGGAGCCCAACAACTCGGATCACATTTTGCGGCTCGCAATTCGCGTTCTTTTCGCCCGAAAACCGCCGATCGAGAACTGGCCAGTTTGAGTCGCTCGCACTTTCTTCTCCGTGGTTCCAGTGTGAATGAGCCCTTAGGGGCCCGTTTCCGGCTTGAGCGGCGTCGCCGTCGGCGTCGCCGTCGCCGTCGCCGTCGGCGTCGGCGTAACCGCGCGGTGCATCATGGGAAATGTCCCATAATGCACCGCGCGAGCCCACCACCAAGGTCACGTGACCTCGTGGGGGGTCACGTGACCCCCCGAAGTCACGTGACTCCCCTGAGGTCACGTGGCCCCCTCCTCGAGGTCACGTGACCCCCGCCGATGTCGCGTGACCCCCCGATGACGTCATCGTCACTGATGACGTCACCGGCATCCACATCGTCATCGTCATCATCACTGATGACGTCACCGGCATCCACATCGTCATCGTCATCATCACTGATGACGTCACCGGCATCCACATCGTCATCGTCATCACTGATGACGTCACCGGCATCCGCATCGTCATCGTCATCATCACTGATGACGTCACCGGCATCCACATCGTCATCGTCATCATCACTGATGACGTCACCGGCATCCACATCGTCATCGTCATCATCACTGATGACGTCACCGGCATCCGCATCGTCATCGTCATCATCACTGATGACGTCACCGGCATCCACATCGTCATCGTCATCATCACTGATGACGTCACCGGCATCCACATCGTCATCGTCATCATCACTGATGACGTCACCGGCATCCACATCGTCATCGTCATCATCACTGATGACGTCACCGACATCCGCATTGTCATCGTCATCATCACTGATGTCGTCACCGGCATCCGCATCGTCATCGTCATCATCACTGATGACGTCATCAGCGACGTCACTGACGACGTCACCGACATTCGCATCGTCATCGTCATCATCACTGGTGAAGTCATCAGTGACGTCACTAATGACGTCATCGGTACCCGCATCGTCATCGTCACTGATGACGTCATCAGTGACGTCAGTGATGACATCATCGGCATTGGGGGTCATGTGACCCCCAAGGTAACGTGACCCCCCCCCCTGGTTAGTTTAACCCCCCCCCAGTGCCCTTCCCTCCTCCTCCTCAAGAGCTGCGCTCTAATTCGGCGTTACAGGGAGTTGTAAGCGGCTTTAATTTTTTTTTACCTTATTAAAAATATGCGTGACGCTGTAGCAAAATATTGATTGGGTTACCTTCTAACGCCATAATAAATTGCTTGGCAAAACAAAAACAAAAAGTGGGGGAGGGGGGGGGGGTGACAGTTTTCTTTCAAGGGACACTGACATGGTATTTATGCTCACCAATGTTTTTTTTCATATAACAGCCACAGTACCCAGAAAACAATTCGCGACTCGAAATTCGTTTCTTTTCCGCCCGAAAACCGCCGATTGAGAACTGGCCGGTTTGAGTCACACTCACTCTCCCCTCCGTGGTCACGAGCCGTTTTCTGTGGTTTAGACACAACCACCAAACCTAATCAAAGTTGTTGAAGGCACACACACAATGTTAAGAACAGGAAAGAAATATGGTACCCATTTTTTGTGGCTTCTAAAAATCTGAAAATACGATGTTGATTTCTGAGAAAAAGGCTGCACAGTCACGTAACTTCCGCCAACTCTCTCTCCTCCTCTATATCTCTTCTTCCTCCCCAGTCCGGTTTCGGTTTCGGTTTCGGTTTCGAGCAGTTGTGCTTTTTGACTTTATTAAAAATACATGTGACGCTGTAGCAAAATATTGACTCGGTACTCTTCTGACACCATAATAAATCACCTAGCAAAAAAAAAAAAAAAATGGGGGGGGGGGGGGGGTGTCTACTAGACAATCTATACCACACTAGCAGCAAGACTGAGGCGCCCAGAGGCTGTACTTTCAAACGTCTATTTAGCAGCCAGACATACAGTTTCGTCTTACATCATTTCAAGAATCTACCGAAGACGCGCCTTTAGCACTGGAGTCTCGTAGTCACGGTAGATCGCCACCTCAATCGCTAAAACAGAGAACAACTCAAGATTCGTCCCTGTGTCTCTCTGCGACCAACCTTTTTGCGTAATCCTATGTCGAACTCAACATCCGCGACAACACACTTGGTGCACAGCACGTTCCACTCAACACATTCAGAGCCTTCATGACGTCATCGCTGTGGCACACAACTTTACAGTCAACAACTAAGAACAAACTAAATGTTCCCGCAACGGCAGTCACCGTGTGCCCGTGCCGAAACGGCACCAAACTTAAAAAAAAAAAAAAAAAAAAAAACACTAGCACATTTGCTTGAAATAAAGAGCTCTGATTAGCTGTCTCTAGGACGGGTCGCCATTTTGTTCTCTCGAAGCGGGATCGCGGGGCCCGGTTTGGATTTGCAGTGCTGCAGCACTGCCAGATGTTTTGATCTGTTCCAAAGTCAAAAGGCAAGGGGACCCGACAAAGGTGTGTCGGGCTAATGCTGTTTACTACGTTTATTACTTCTGTGCGGTTTGAGAAAGTGTTTTCATTTTAGGCGCGTTCTCGAACTGACAAAGTGGGCGCTATGAACTATTACTTTTGACACCATGAATGCTGATTTGGTTATGTGGCACAGATGACGTGAGATTCAATCGCACCCGGTTACCTCGTAAAAGCAAGCTATAGACGCCACTTCTACCGATGGCTTATTTGTTTTATTTTGCAGACCCTGACAACGGCCGAATCTGTCGTTGTTGCTACAGCGTTTTTTTTACGGTCAGTTCTTGGCATTCCTCTCGTCTCTGCAGAGATTTCTCCATGCTTTGCCAAACGTCTATGACAGTGGGCCTTTGTCCGGTTGCGAGTGCCTTTGCATTTGGAACCCACAAATTAGAGAAAGGATATGCAGTCTGCTGTCGCTCTACGTGCTCCGAGCTACGATGCGTTACCACACTCGATCACTGATGCCCATTGGAGTGCAAGTGAGGGTTGTAGGTATACTTTTAATGTCTGGAGTTGTGAAAGAGCTCAGAACCTTCGGGTCGTGCAAAACTAGCTTTTTCCCCACTTGGCCAGAGTTGTGGCGCGTTAACACACTTTGCCACCGATACTTCATTTGAATACCGTTTCGCTTTTATGCATATTTGTATTTATGATTTCAGTCTGTCCTTACCCGCTTGACAACCAAGTACTGCACTAACTCACGATCTCTTGTAGTAATTTATGAATACTGGCAACATATGAGCTTGATTGACATCACTATCGTTACCGTGAAAGCTTAAATTGTCTTATCTGATAATTGTAACGTACATGTTCGATAAAATCACCATTCATCTGTGAATGATTGCGTTTGATCATGCACACTTGTTATTGTGCTAGCGGTCACAACAATCCAAAACATGCGAGAACAATAAAGTCAGGAAGATGCGAAAGGCAAGATTGGCAGCCTGATCAGAACAGTAGATACTAAACAGCAAAAAGAAGACTGAACTCTGACCAATGAATAAAATATTAAGTAATGAATATAGACTCGAAGCATTGAAAGTATGATTGGCATATGTATGTCGTCATGAAACGAAAAATCGACCAGCTGTTAAAGCCGATTGAAAGATATTAAAATGCAAGCATTTTGAAGCTAAGATTATTTTTCTGTTTCCCACAAGCTACCGTACATTGTCGCGGAAAGATTGATTCTGAATATATGCTAACCCATCAAAAAAAAAAATTGTTGATAATTTTTTTTAATATTTATTTTTTAGATGTTAATTTCTGAGGTCGATTTATACGCGTCACTATACGTTATTAGGAATGTTCCACATAGACCCACAGGCTGGCCACATTAAGTTGGAGTGCTCCAGGTGCATGTGTGGGATACCTGATTAATTAATTACTTA